CAGTAGTCATGATGATAATCATGACGACGCATCCTTTGCATCGCCAATGCTCTCTAACGCAACACTTGAAATGTATAGTATAGAATGTAAAAGTATAGAAAGAGATGGTGATGACTACGATGATGATGACGATGATATTGATGACGACGGTCATCCTCAGCATCACCAGCAGTCATCATGATTATCATGTCCACGCATCTTTTGCATCTCAAGTCGCATGATAATCGTCATGACGCATCCTCCGCATCACCAGTAGTCATGATGATAATCATGAGGACGCATCCTCCGCATCACCAGTGCCCTCTAACGCCACACTTGAAATGTATAGTATAGAATATACAAGTATAGAAAGAGATGGTGATGACTACGATGATGATGACGATGATATTGATGACGAGGGTGACAAGGATGATGACTGTGATGATAATTGTCCAGCAGTCATCATGATAACCATGTAACCGTCCAGCAATCCTCATGATAATCATGTCCACGCATCTCTTGCATTTCAAATCGGCTGATAGTCATCATGACGCATCCTCAGCATCACCAGCAGTCATCATCATGATAATCATGTCCACGCATCTTTTGCATTTCAACTCGGCTGATAGTCATCATGACTCATCCTCAGCAGCACCAGCAGTCATCATCATGATAATCATGTCCACGCACCTTTTGCGTTGCAAATCGGCTGATAGTCATCATGACGCATCCTCAGCATCACCAGCAGTCATCATCATGATAATCATGCCCACGCATCTTTTGCATCTTAAGTCGCATGATAATCATCATGACGCATCCTCAGCATCACGAGTAGTCATGATGATACTCATGAGGACGCATCCTCCGCATCACCAGTGCCCTCTAACGCCACATTTGAAATGTATAGTATAGAATATAGAAGTACAGAAACCGATGGTGATGACTACGATGATGATGACGATGATATTGATGACGAGGGTGACAAGGATGATGACTGTGAGGATAATTGTGCAGCGGTCATCATGATAACCATGTAACCGTCCAGCAATCCTCATGATAATCATGTCCACGCATCTCTTGCATTTCAAATCGGCTGATAGTCATCATGACGCATCCTCAGCATCACCAGCAGTCATCATGATAATCATGTCCACGCATCTCTTGCATTGCAAATCGGCTGATAGTCATCATGCGCATCCTCAGCATCACCAGCAGTCATCATCATGGTACTCATGTCCACGCATCTTTTGCATCTTAAGTCGCATGAGTAGTCATGATGATAATCATGACGACGCATCCTCTGCATCGCCAATGCTCTCTAACGCCACACTTGAAATGTATAGTACAGAATGTAAAAGTATAGAAAGAGATGGTGATGACTACGATGATGATGACGATGATATTGATGACGACGGTCATCCTCAGCATCACCAGCCGTCATGATGATAATCATGTCCACGCACCTTTTGCATCTTAAGTCGCAGGATAATCGTCATGACGCATCCTCCGCATCACCAGTAGTCATGATGATAATCATGAGGACGCATCCTCTGCATCACCAATGCCCTCTAACGCCACACTTGAAATGTATAGTATAGAATATAAAAGTAAAAAAAGAGATGGTGATGACTACGATGATGATGACGATGATATTGATGACGACGGTCATCCTCAGCATCACCAGCAGTCATCATGATAATCATGTCCACGCATCTTTTGCATCTCAAGTCGCATGATAATCGTCATGCCGCATCCTCCGCATCACCAGTAGTCATGATGATAATCATGAGGACGCATCCTCCGCATCACCAGTGCCCTCTAACGCCACACTTCAAATGTAAAGTATAGTCTTAAGTCGCATGGTAATCATCATGACGCATCCTCAGCATCACCAGTAGTCATGATGATAATCATGACGACGCATCCTTTGCATCGCCAATGCTCTCTAACGCCACACTTGAAATGTAGAGTATAGAATGTAAAAGTATAGAAAGAGATGGTGATGACTACGGTGATGATGACGATGATATTGATGACGACGGTCATCCTCAGCATCACCAGCAGTCATCATGATAATCATGTCCACACACCTTTTGCATCTCAAGTCGCATGATAATCGTCATGACGCATCCTCTGCATCACCAGTAGTCATGATGATAATCATGAGGACGCATCCTCCGCATCACTAGTGCCCTCTAACGCCACACTTGAAATGTATAGTATAGAATATACAAGTATAGAAAGAGATGGTGATGACTACGATGATGACGATGATATTGATGACGAGGGTGACAAGGATCATAAACTGTGATGATAATTGTCCAGCGCTTGCATTTCAATTCGGCTGATAGTCATCATGAAAATCATGTCCACGCATCTTTTCCATTTCAAATCGGCTGATAGTCATCATGACGCATCCTCAGCATCACCAGCAGTCATCATCATGATAATCATGTCCACGCACCTTTTGCATTGCAAATCGGCTGATAGTCATCATGACGCATCCTCAGCATCACCAGCAGTCATCATCATGATAATCATGTCCACGCATCTTTTGCATCTTAAGTCGCATGATAGTCATCATGACGCATCCTCAGCATCACGAGTAGTCATGATGATAATCATGACGACGCATCCTCTGCATCGCCAATGCTCTCCAACGCCACACTTGAAGTGTATAGTATAGAATATAGAAGTATAGAAAGAGATGGTGATGACTACGATGATGATGATGATGATACTGAGATTGATGACGAGGGTGACAAGGATGATGACTGTGATGGTAATTGTCCAGCAGTCCCACATTCGACCTCGGCTCGCTAACGGCTGTGATGATAACTATCATCGTAACATCTTCTGCATCACCAGTGCTGTTGAACGCGGATGACTGTCATGATAACTATCATCGTAGCATCTTCTGCATTACCAAAGCTGCGGATGACTGTCATGATAACTATCATCGTAGCATCCTCTGCATTCCCAAGGGTGCCTAACGCCACATTTGAAATGTATATAGAAGAAAGATAGAAGAAAGAGATGATGCTGATGATGACAATCATGATGACGATGATGAAGGTGATGACTATGATGACAATCATCATGAAGATGATAAGGATGATGACCCTTATGATCACTATCATCGTGGCATCCTCTGCATTACCAAAGCTGCGGATGACTCTGCATTACCAAGGATGCCTAACGCCACATTTGAAATGTATATAGAAAAAAGACAGAAGAATATCATGATGACGATGATGAAGGCGATGACTATGATGACAATCATTATGAAGATGATAAGGATGATGACTCTTATGATAACTATCATCGTAGCATCCTCTGCATTACCAAAGCTGCGGATGACTGTCATGATCACTATCATCGTAGCATCCCTAGCGATGATCACGACTACGCGTCACTATCGAAACGGCGCCTCGCCTCAGATGCCATTTGGGTCCTTGAGATTTGGAGTCCTGCCTTGATGATAGTTATCACTACGCATCATTCGCAGCATCTCTGGCAGTCATGAGGGTAATCATCACTACGCAGCCCGAGCATCTCCAGCAGCGATGATCATAATCATGACTACGCATCACATGCATGTCAAGCGGACTCTACAGGATCTCGTGACCACCTTGATTCCTAGCCAGTATCGAAACGGCACCCCGCCTCAGATGCCATGTGGGTCATTAAGATTTGAAGCAATTTGCGCTAGTTTGGGCTAGCTCCGAGTCTAAGGTCTAGGGTCTAGGTAGGGCAAGATCGATATTCTTGCGCCAGACCCTAGATCCTAGACCCCAAGTAAGCAACTTGGCGCAGGACTTGAAAGGACGAGTCATGCCTTGATCCCCAGCATCTCGATGATGCCGATGATGATGATCACCCTTCCCGTGCGCCTCCGCTTTGGGAGAAGGGGTCGGCGGATATGAGCCAGCTTCAACATTTCCGTCATTTGCGGAGTTTTTTGTTTTGCCACTAACAATGTATATATGAGTCAGCTTCAGCAAATGAGCGTCATTCGTTTTATGTAGGAGTGTTTCATTCACCTGTTTGCGTGTTGTTTTTCCCCTCGCAAAACGATGCGGGACGTCTAAGCAAGCAATACCCCCAAAACCTGAGAAGCGCGATACGGGAAGTCCTGACGTCCGGAAGAATGCACCCCAAACAATTACTTTTGACGCTGACTCATAATATATATATATATATTATAGAGAGATAATACAGTATGAATATAAAACAAGGGTAGTGGCTTTGGGGTAGTGGACGTGTCAGAGAACCACAGCCTAGTGAATGCTGGCCAAGCTCATCGGGTGGCAAGAGTGTTTCGCCTTTGTCGACTTAAAATGGTTCACACCCCAAATGGCTTCCTGTTCGTTTTGCCAAGGTCGTATGGTCATACTGGCTGTCCAACCCACCCGGCAACATGCAACCCAATACAACATCCAAGAAGTCTCCTTGTAGGCGGCCCCCCCTTCGTAACAAATGCGAGGAGCCTGTGAAGAATGGGTGATTTTGCCAAAGATCGTTTTGAGGGTTGTACTTGTGTAAAACAAGGGGGTTCAAGGAGGACTACTGCAGGTTAGCGGAAAGTCAATATGAAGTCCGGTCAACAAAAGCAGCACTCTATTGTCCATTCAACGACTAACCACCAACACTAAGTCGCTTGCCAAATGTCTTATGTCCTCTCGCAGAAACTAGTATGATAATTTTACGGTGACTCATTTGCTTGAATGCGATTCCGTACAGCACCAACTCTTGACGGCTGGTGTGATGTACTCCTGAACGTGTGCCTGTGGGGTCGTGTCCCAATTTCTGAAGATCGTAGGGGTATACCCTCAGTGGTACTGTGCAACAGTCTTCTAGTGTTGGCAAACGTCCTTTGGCATACATGGCAGACGTGCTGCTTTATGAAAAAACCACATGTCGCAACTTATGTTTGCGTGAGAGCAAGGGACCGCATGGGGCAAGTCACACAAACCGCCGGCGGTTTTTTTTTGGGCGCCGAGCCACCGGATCGGATGGAGGCGGTGTTCCAGCACAAGCTGCAGGAGCTGAAGTGGGCGGCGAACCGATCATCAGGAGGGAGAGAAAATTCGGGCGCGAGGGTGGCTGGGGCTGAGGTCGCTGGGACTGGAGGCGTCGTAAAAATTTGCCGTTTTTGGGGTGGGGTTGAAAGGGAATCACTGTTTTAACACACACACACCTGCTGTTTGGAGGATATTCCCGTGTGTTTCCTCTTTTTTTTGTTGAGGGAATCCGGAGTCGTGCCCTATTTTTAACATGCGCCCGGGTGATTTTTTTCCGCCCAGTGCCCTGGGTATTTCTTGCGAGAGGTTTTGTGCTGCCGTGACCATGTCTCGGTAAAAGCGAAACTTTGGGAACTCCGGACAAGACTCACCCGAAATGTCGGGACATTGGATTTGGTCACTTGTGTTGTGAGCGATACCCTTGATGCCCAGTTCTGAGGGGGTCTCCTGCCCCTTTTTGCAGGAGGTGTTCTTTGACCTGTGCCTGGAGAAAAGGGGCCCGCAAAAAGTGTAAGAGGCGTTTTGTAGCGTGTCCCTTCAAGGTTGATTGGTGTGTAGTCCGGGACAGGCTTGCGGACAGAGCAATCCAGCCAGCATTACAAGATAAGCAGTGGGGTGAGATCAAAGGGTCACAAGACCAATCCTGCTCTTATGTGTGCCATAGTCAAATCACGTTTTTACTTGGGGTTGGCAGGGATGATCATGACCTTTCATAGATTATAGCTGAGCATTGTCAGTGTTTCTATTAACAGGAACCATGACCATAGCCTACACCACTTGCTCCCGGAGTTCCTGGACTTTACACCTTTAGGACAGCCATGTTAGTTGCCAGAAAATGCGTCGACCTTCGCCAGTCCACTTATCTGAGGGTGTTTGTATTACACCCTAGGATTACACCCTTGAGAAATGACCCGGAATGATTCAAAATAACACGGTTTTATCCGGAAATGTGCCTAAATGGGGTCAATACCCAGTGGGTGTATTCCCAGGGTGTAATACAAAGACCCTTAGAACTTAGGAAGTGAGACAAGGAGCTTTGGCCAGGCGCATGTGATGATTTCCCTCTTTGGTTCTGTAAATCTCTGGCATTGAAATGGCTCTACCAGGGTGACAGGAAGACCCTGGATTCGTGTGCCTTTTTTGGAGAATACTCTTTTCAGGTTGGTTCTCGGTTCAAAGGGAAGCGAAAGGGAAACAGCACCGTGTCGTGGGTCCCTATATTCAGACACACTCATACCTGGACCACCCAAATCGGCAGAAGTTTCTGCCTTTTTGGAAAAAGGCGCCTTTTTGCTGTTGGCGGCGTTTTTAGTTTCCCTGGCAGCGTTTCTTTCAAAATCAAGTGCTGTGCAAAACAGGCAGCAGGAAATCGGCGGAATTCGGCGGGAAATCGGCGGAATTCGGCGGGAAATCGGCGGAATTTCGCGGAAGCAGGTTTCAGCATGTCGGAGTGTTTGTTGCGTTTCGGCGTTTTTTTCTCGCGGGCGGCGTTTTTTGGGTTTTTCGGCGGAAATTTCTGCCGCCGGGGCCTTTCGGCAGAAAGTTCTGCCGCCGGAGGGTCCAGGTATGGCAGTGAATTTTTTTGAGGGGTCTGCAACAGAGCCGCGGGCCGCGGCGGACATTCGTTACAGACCTCGTTACAGACCTCTGTAACAAGACCAGCTGGCTCGTTACACACCCCTCGTTACACACCCTGGTTACACACCCTCGTTACACACCTCGGATGAACAAACCGGGCCAGTGACGCGACTGCCCTATTATTGCCGCAGCTTGGCTTGCGCTGAATAGCTGCAATCAAGCTGGAGCTGCGGAGGCGCTTTGCGTACTGTGCTTTGCTTAGCCTCGTGACAGACCTCGTTACATAGCCGTTACATACCTCGTCGCAGACCCAACCCCAGCCGGGGCACCAGCGACCCCGCTTTTTGCTGGCGCTTGGCTTGCGTTGAATAGAGCTGCGGAGGCGCGCTTTGCGTCCTGCGCTTTGCCTTGCCTCGTTACAGACCTCGTTACACAGTCGTTACATACCTCGTTACAGACGCAACCCCGGCCCGGCTGGTGCTGCGGAGGCGCGCTTTGCGTACTGCGCTTCGCTTTGCCTCGTTACAGACCCGTTACGTAGCCGTTACAGACCCAACCCCAGCCCGGGCCAGCGACCCTGTTTTTTGCCGCAGCTTGGCTCGTGTTGAGTAGCTGCAATCAAGCTGGAGCTGCGGAGGCGCGCTTTGCGTCCTGCGCTTCGCTTTGCCCGCTACAGACCTCGTTACATAGCCATTGCATACCTCGTTGTGCTGCGCTACATTGTGCTACTGATAGGAAAAGCTTTCCCGTTACAGACCTGCGTAACAAGGACCTCCGTCACAGACCTCCGTAACAAGATTTGTGGCGCGTCGCGCGTTACAGACCCCTTAAAAAAACATAGCCATATGAGGGTGTCATGGCACATGATTTCAATCAACCTATGTGTAGAAATCGACAAAGCTGGTATCTATGTACAGCCGACCGATTTTCATATTTTGGTGGTGGTGTATGGCAATGTGATGTTATGTGTGATATACAATATATATATATATAGATAGTTAAACCAACACACACACATGCATGAACATACATAGATTCAATCTGGATTTGTTACACATGCGCTGCATGCCTTTACACCTTTAGGCAAAAAAACAACACCAAGTACCTTTGAGCGTCCTGGCCGCGCACTTTTTGGCCAGGACGCCTGTGGCGAAATGGTGAGGATCCGGAAGGGTACTTCCACTTGCCAGGCGGTCCCCGTCCGGATCCGTCCGGTCCATGGCAGCCGGCCTATCTAATTCTGCGTGGGTGGGCTTTTCCTAAGTGAGTGCCCTGAAAACATCTCAGACTTGAGGTTTGTGAGAAATCACCGGAAAGAAATGGGGCAATTGGGTTTTTCCTTGTAAAGTGAAGGGCATTTCGACATCTCAGACGTCTGGGGCTGGTCCGCCGAAGAAGGATCCCTCGCTGTACAATCCTTTTCTCATCCAGGGCGATTTGTTTGAGGACGTGATGCGGAATTGAGACAACAAACCTGGATCTCTCTAACTGGGGATTTCAAGAAAGATGTGAGCAAAAGGTGTTTAATTGCGTGGTGACGGGGGTGTGACAGATAGCAACTTGCTTGAGATGATGAATCCCCAGAAAATGGTTCCCCCGTTTTTTGGCTGGCTAGGTCTAATTAGTATTTCGCCTGGTGCAAGATGGGAGTGCTTTTGTAGCGTTACACACAAGCAACAGGTGAGAAGCAAAGTTGGGTCCACGGTATGTTTTGTTTTTTTGCCAACAATTGCCATGGGTTCAATCAAAATCCAAACAAGCGCTTGGGCAACGCATTTGGACTTTGTCTTGTTGTTTTTTATGATTACGGGGCTATTTCTGGGATGTTTTGAGAGCCTTTTCGTCCCTTCCAAACCTGTAATGATCTAGACCTTTGACATGGTAGGCATCCTTTTCCTCGATTCCACCCCCTCCCCCCCTTGCCATTTTCGGTCGCAAACATGAGGCGGCCCCACAAGGGGTTTTGGTTTGCAAGCTCATCTACAAGATGGCTCCGTTGTTGCCGCTGTTTTCTCATCGTATTTCGGGCTGCTTCTTTGTTCATTCGCCAAACAAAACTCGGCCGACGGCCCGAAAACCGCAAAACTTCACCTTAGTTTGTGGCTAAACCAACCAGTTGACGCTCGAACTGCACCCACTCAGAGGCCCGGTTGACCTCTCAGCCATACAATCCCAGCGCCAGGACGGACAGAGCTGGCGCTCCGGGTCCAGAAGAAGATCCTGCCACGCTTCGGCTTTGCGGCCACCAAGGCGGCCCAACTTCCTCCCGGTGGCCAAAACCCCAAAACACCCCCATGTGAAAATAAGGACTAGTGTCTTCCAGTTACTGAAGTGAATATGTGTTGTTTTCGCCCTGGTGGTTTTAAAGGGAGTCCGTCACTACTGGAAATATACTTTGTTGTTTGTTTTTGTTTCAGGGGATTTGAGCAACTGGATGGAATCAGGCCTTATTGAGACCATGGAGGGGTTTGGATATGTTTGGTTCCTGTGACCGGGTGTGCCATGTTTTGAGGCAGCCCCTTTTGGTTGGAAGGACATCACATGTGTTTGATGGGTTCCTTTTGCACTCTGTCCCCGACCGCTAACAGTGGATTGCCGCACTTTCGTGCTTAGTGCTGATGGTTATGAAGATTTGGGGACCACTAACATGGTCCAAATTGTCGCGACTGTTGGTATTTGGGGGCAGGGTCCAAGGTTCCCCTCGTCAATTGACTACAGGGGAGGAGCTTAACATAAAGGTTTCACTGCCAGATCCTGAAAACACCATAAGGGTAGTGAATAAGCCCTTTGAAAGGGTTCCGTATATTTCCGTGGTTTGGACCTGGACTACATCCCTCATTCCGCCCTCTTGTTTCAGGGTTCCTGTTTTGGAAAATACAACTTAAACTCAGTGTCCTTTGGAGTTCATCTTGAGCAGTAGTTAATGAACAATACGGAGCCTGTGTGTCTTTGGGATTCTCAGGGGAGCATAGGCAAGCTGGTGGATGCACAGAAAAGAGTTGCCCTCCAAAAGTGATCCGCATGCCATTGAAATGGGACCAGGGTTGTGAGCGAAACTCGGGGACGCCAGGAATCTCGGGGATTAGTCGAACGGGAATCCTTTAGATTCCCTCGATGCCGCAATGCTTGGATGGGACTAGTGACAACTACTTGTTTAGAATCCACTAAAGTTGGGATTCTTTACTGTAAGTTTGTGTGTATTTGTCTGTCCTGAACTGGAAATCCCACGCAAATGTGTGTTCTGTAGGAGCCAAGAGCAACTAAGGGTAGCCGATGTTTAGGAGAGCTTAAATGGCTTCCAACCGAGAAGGCCGCAACAGTATTTGGCAGGGTTGTGGGATCAAGGGGTTTATCCCCACTTCTGTGATATAAGGGACTCCCCCGTGTATATTGGGGGGGTAGTGTTTGGGAGGCTCTTATTGTTGTATCACAGAAGTGGTCATTTCCCACAGCCCTGGTATTTGGTGAATTAGGTTGCAATTGTTTGCAGGTATTTTTTTCCCCGCATGAGCAGCGCGCACAAAACATCCTGTTGTCAATTCTGTCAGGGTGTCAACCCCTGGTTGCATGATGATACTGAGGCCTACAGCATGATTTCCGACTGACCATGTTGGTAGAAGCCGTGTGCAATCCTCAAGGTTTCCCTTGATGGGTGCGGCTTTATTTATACAGATTTGCTCTTAGACAACAAAGCTTGGGTGCTGCTCACACGGCTTTGCGTACCCTCCCTGAAACAATCGTGGAGGCTGACATGAGTTTTGTGGAACACTTTACTTTCGGGAAGCTTCCTTGTCCACTTCCACTGTTAGAAACTGCTTCCCTGCAGGAGGGAGTCAAGGACATGGTTTGCCGCTCGACTGCACATGGGTCCGAACTTACGCGATGGCCGGCTCGAATCGAGCGTCAGCCAAAGAAACCATTTACCGCTGTGTTTCCGGGCGACTTGGGGAAGTGCCATGGGACGGTTGTTTTACTTAATCCAGAGTGAGTACAGAGAGAAGAACTTTCCTCTTAGATCTCTCCCTCGCCTTTGAAACGGAGCCTTCCTGAGGCCACTGCGCCGGCTGCACTGTTAGTACGATGTGCCACTTAGGTTTTTGAATAAGGACTAGTGAAAAACCACGCCCGGCCCCACCAGTGCAGAGTTTCCGAACACCCTGGCCCCAACCCCTGCAGTTTCCCTATACGTGTTCTTTCGGTGATTTGAACATGACCTCAAGCCTTTGACAAGGCCGAAAAGTCTTATTTTGGGGGCCTAAAGGGAAGGGGGGCGCGGGTTGGGGGAGGGGTTGGAAAGGTCACAACCAACAAACCCTAAACCAACCCTAGCTGGCCTACCCTGAATTGCGGAGCATTAGAGGTCCAAACCATATAGTTTGTTTTTTGTGCACGAGAGGTTGCTTTAACTCGTACTACTTCTCCCGGCGCTTTGGGGAGAACCCCCGCAGGTCATTGCGCCAAGTTCCTCTCAGAGCCGGAGGTCGTTGAGCTCTTCGACTGCCTCAATGCGCGCCTCGGATGTGTCAACGCAAGGCAGCCCCACAAATGATGACTTTCCTTTTGAGTTACCGGGAGAGCAACTATAAAAGGAACAGTAAGTGCCCTCCAAAAAACAAAACGTGGTTTTTTGGTTTGAGGGACCTTCATTTTGGGCTCGGAAACCAAAGGAAACCAAAGTCACTTTTGGGGCTTCATGTCCTACTGGTACAATGGAAGCCTTGCGACAAGGAATGCTTCATTTGCTTCAGAATTGTGTGATTTGCCTTGAATCTATCACTAATTATCACTACTCCATCAGGTTTGAGGGGACTTAGGCCAAATCCGGATCTTCCAAGGGGACTTAAGCAAATTCACTAAGGTTGTGAACAAAGAAGCGCTGGTCGGAAAGTTGCCGTTGACCTCGCCCAGATAAAAGGCCATGACCGGCGCCCTTGCAAACGGGCACAGCTGTCACGACTTGATGGAGTTGTCACAAAGAGGGGTCCGAAAGGTCTACCTCAAAGTGGGGAACCCCGTTGTTTGCTGGTTTTGAAAGGGCTCGGTCACTTGTCGGCATGTTTTGCTTCCAAACCCGAGGGGGAAACCAACCTGAAGAAAAGGACTGGGCGGTATCCGATTGAGAGAGACACAGGCACGTCTCCCCCAACCCAACCCCTTTCGGTTTTCAACATTCCCCATGCGGCCCTACCGCGCATGTTCCTGGTGGCTAGATATTTTTCTATTTTGTCTCCCGGCCCTCTCTTGCGAGTTTCCCCCGGTGTGGGCACGTCGAGCGCGTCGAGCGCGTTTCGCGTGTCCTCACGTCACACCCAGGAAGCTGGGCATGAGCCCAGACGCCTGCGAGCTCTTCCGGAAGTTTGCAATTCAGATGACGCGCAGCCGAGCGCGGGCCGGGCACCCCAGCTATGGAGACACCTGGAAATCAAAAACGCCGCGTTGATGGCCCCTCTCCAAAAAATAATGCAGTAGGTGTTCAGTGGTGCCATGTTTTGTTGGCAAAATGGTGTTCTGTTGCTGAGGGATTTCTCCGTCAGTTGTTCAATGTCTTATTCTTTTCCTGGTGACCGATGGTCCTTTTGAACACTCGGGACTTCCCTTCACCCTGAGCCGAAGCCTGCCTGATGCGGACGGCGGGTTGTTCCTCCCTCAAGCCGCCCTTTTCTGGAGTCTCAGAAAGCTCTTCCGACCCCCACGAGACAAAGTCAGACACGTCAGACACGTTGTGCGCATTTCGTTTCCGACGAGAGTAGCTGCACGTTTCGCATTCTTTACCAGCCATTTTCGGCCAGATCCGTTCCCTTCAGCTTGAGAGAGCGATATGCATCGGCCGTCGCTCTACCATTTCTCTTTTTTCGGCAAACGCGGTGGGGAATTGCAGCCTGTGTCTGCCTCTTATGACCGGGAACCAGATGAAAAGGCCAGGCAATATGGATACGGACACGGTCCGTATACATATATATATATATAAGTCTGCACCAACTTTGGATGTGACATGGGTTGGAACGCTCAGCTGCATTTTGTTCTGTATGTTCTTTGAATGATTGATTGCTTTTGTTGTTTCTTGCTTTGCTTCGCTGGTTTGCTTGCGTGGCTGGGTGGTTGGGTGGTTCGGTGGCTGGGTTGCTTGTTGGGGGATTGCTTGGATGGGTGGATGGGCGGGTGGGTTGGTTATCGGGTTGGTTGGTTGTTGGCGGGTTGGTTGGGTGGTCGGGTGGGTGAGTTGGTTGGTGGTTGGGTGGTTGGCAGTGACGGTGTTTGTTGGCTTGGTTTCCCGTTCTCGCTCCAGGCCGACTGAGCATTGAGTTCTGCCGCTCGTGAGCGCGTGAGGCTCTTAGGTGAAAATGCACTCTAGTTGCATGGCCAGGCATAGAAGAACATGTCGAAGTGCCAGCGAAACCGGCCGAACGGGTCTTAGAGAACTCTGGACCTCCGTCCAGACATTGAATCTTTTCACTCCCGACGGGGAGCATTTCCCTAGAGCGGGAGGTTCCACGTGCCTGTCGATGTTGCGATCTGGAGGGGCGTCTTTGGCCAGAGCGACTCACAATAGTATTGGTAGTCTACTGTTGGGGAACACACGCGGGGGACAAACTGCATTTCCCGCACCCTTTGTCGGGCAAGGGCGAGCTTGGCACATGGAAGCTTACCTCCTGTGAGGTACTCAGAACCTAATGCCCGCCTGCTAAGAAGAAGTATAAGTTCTGTGAACCTTTCCTTGGGGGATGTGGACTGTAGCTTGCATGGATCGGAACGAGATAAGCCTTTGATTTGTTTGCATTGACGATCATATTTGGAGCGGTACAAACAGGGGATGGTAGCCTGAGATAGAGCTATACGTATTGCATTTAAGGCAATGCTACTGTGGACGGACACGATCCTGCAGCACTTGGACACCATGGGAAATCATAGTTTATTGGTATTTTTTCTGGGCATCATCATGCCAGGGTTTCTTAGGTGGTGCGAAATGGATTTCGTCCATCCACAGTATTACATGGTCAAAGTGGAGCAACTTATATCCTCTCACGGAAGTAGCGGCAGCGAACCTGGAGTTCTTTGTTGCTGATCAAGTGATAGGTAGCAACAATGCTCCGAAGCTTATCGTGTTTCTTTGTTTTTTGTATTTCGAGTATACACAATTGTTGCCAGATCCTTTGCATCTTGGCTTGCAGGCGCTTTGGACAAATGCACGCAAACGAGGACGCTGATCACTGCATCTTATAAAATCAATCCCCCCAGGAGAAGAAACAACCCACACACTGCATTTTAGCTGCACGGGTGTCCTTATGTTAGGGGCCCACATTCTAGCCATCGGCTTTTGCTCTGTAATCAGACTGGAGAAGAGGACCCACAAACCTTGGCCTTTAAAGGAGCCCGAAGCTTTGAACGGGACCGCAACATCATGTTTGTGGAAAGGGGATTCACAGGATTCAGAGGTCGGCACTGCATCCAATGAAATGTGATCAGAGCCAGCGTTTGTTTTTTGCGTTCTAGCTCGACTTCTGGGGAACGCATTGACGCTGGGACTTGCAATATGTTCCATGCAAACTCCTTGTTGTTGGTTTCTCATTATTCCAAGCTGTTGAATTATTTAAGAACTCACTTGGACGCATTCCTAGAGGGCTTTCCTAACGTCAGCTCCTTCCCGAGTTGTGAGTGGGCTAAAGACAAGCAGAGTCAAGGGGGCCAAGTTGCTTTGTTTGGTATTCACTTGCAAGAACCCAAAAGGGCCCGCAAAAAAAATACACCTCGAAAAGCACAGTTTCGTTCGGGTGCCATTGTTTCCATGTTGATTTGCAGGACCACATGGAGCAATGCTATTCTGAAGATGATTGGGATTGGCAACTTGGGTCAATTTGGGGACACTCGAAGATCGTTCAAAGAAAAGTAAGCCAGGTACTGTTACTATGTGCCCCTAGGGCGGCGGTGGAACAGGAGTTTCCACCCAAGGTACCCTGCGGTCAGACATTCTCTGTCAAGGCTCACCTTCTTTCCCTCTTCAGGAGAATCCGAAGACCACCTCGGGGTTTGCCCTTTTCAGGGCTACAAAGACGGCTATATACACTTTCAATCTCTGGAACCACCTCATCTCGAGGTTGGTGGACATGAATCACCACAAATGGCGATGTCCACAAGCTCCGGGACCTGTTAAGCTTCACACCCAGAGAAGCTCTGGCCCATGTTAGCGTGTCCGCTTGGAGAGTTCTGTTACGTCTGCGGGCCGGCTTTGGCCCCTGAGAAGCTTCGCCACAGCCTCTCCGGATCGCATCGGATTCCTCGCTTGCGGTTGCGGGGCCGTTTCTCTGGAAGCCAAAGCAGAGATGTCGCCAAGCAAGGCAGCGAGAGAAATAACTGACAGAACTGTCAGGTTTCCTACCTTCCCATGGCAACTGTTGCAAGGTTGCTTCTTGGTGGCGTTCTTGCGTATCCATCATGTTTACTGCAAACCACACAGGTGCCTACGACTATTGAGCTGTGCGATATTTGAAGGAGACTGGTTGAAACGCAGCTTGTTGTTTTGCTACGGACGGTGTATTAGTATGTGGGCCAACGTTTCGTGAAGTTGCTCACATGCTTCACCTGGCAGATTGGCTCTTCATTTGATGTTACATTTGCATGAACATTGAATCTTCATGTTCCCTCCATCCAAGAATCATGAGAGTGAACAGGAGGCTTGTTCAAGATGCGAGTCGCCTTCCACCAGCAAATCACGAGTCGAAGCCTTACTCGAGATCATTTCTATCGGGGGAAGTAGCAGAAGTCTTTGTCGCCCGGCTGAAGCGCGCAGGGTGAACTTCCCCTTGAAACGAGGATGGACCCCCCCCTGAAGTGGATCCATGAATGGCGTGGTCGGATCGGACAGTACCCTGGCAAGCAAGCGGTCTCTGGTCGCCTTCAGGGAATAGTTTTTGCAATGTAAGTCACTGCTTACCTGACAGTTTCCATGGCCATGTTTAGGGTTTGCTTGCAGAAACTCGGTTGTTGCTTTCGTGATGTTCTTGCAATAGATGCCCTGATTCTTCTCGGCAACACTTTGATGGATTTCCAGCCCCACGATGAAGGACGGCTCCAGAGCATCCGTTCCTGGTTTTCGGACCTTGTATTTCCATTGGGTGAATGATAGCTGCTTTTTTTCTTGCTTCTCCGGTATACTGTGTGATGCAGTGGTTGTACCCATACACGGATGCCTTCCACTTGCTTAATTTGATGTTTTTTCCTCAGTTGATTTTAGGTGGAAATGATTAATGCCGGTTGTTAGGTGATGCCTTGTCTAGAGACCCTACCCATCAACCCTGGCTTAAGGAAGATACGCAGTGCAGTTCTGAAACCCTGCAAAGTGCGACATCCCGTGCAGCCAGAGATACTCGCACCGGGCTTGCCCAAAGGCCCAAAGGCGAGCCTTCCTTCTTTCGGTGGCGCTGTGCACTGTCCGAGTTCTCGAAACTTCTCGGGCGGGAGAAGCGAAGATCACGAATCAAAAGCTGATGGGTTTCCTGGTGTCCCTCGAAATGCCATGTTGACTTCGGATGGCTCTGGAGGATTCTACCAAGGCAGAACCCCCCCCACAGCAGATCATTTCCGCATTAGAAAGGGAGCCGTACATGATTAGTACGGCAATCTGGATCCAGAGTTTCGGACTCTTTCCATATTTTACCTATTCTGCTCAACTCTTGGGAGCAGAACGAGAGCATTCTTGGTGGCTCCCAGCCATCCGGTTCCTTAGCTTTTTCGTTTATCAGTGTTTAGTGGGGGATTTCCATTTATCCAACTCAAAGTTGAATGTTTAAAGCCGGGGATCTGAGGACAGCCCAGGAGTTGAATCTTTGGATGAATGAGGAACAACCTCCATCTGAGTCGTCTCACGTGGCGCGACTTGGCTCTAGCTGGGGCGAGACACATTCAACCAGAGAGGTGAAAGGCAAGGTCTTTCGTACGCTTCCTCGTTGGTTTTGATAAGCTTGACTTGGCATTTTGCGTGAGTCCAGAATGGCGGTTCCAGTTCATCTTTCTCGAAGTTGCCGAGTGGCTCCGTCTTCTTTCTAGTTCGTTCGGCAGGGTATGAGTTGGAATGACCCCTGTAAACCCTCCCCTATGGTTTCCTCTGAAGGGAATCCCTTCCGGTTCATTCCCAACACCCCGAAGGTCATTCCCTTCCGAGCAAGTCTTGCTTTCTGCGGAATGGCTTCCCCCGCATTCATGGCCGGACAGCCAGGCTGAAGCGCAGCGGGTGCCGGATTCTAGCCAGGAAACGTAGAGGATAGTGCTGTACTACAATTTGAGCCTGGCAGCTAGGTTCCTGTTCAGCGCGATTCAGAGGAAGCGGGGAGATGTAGGTCTGCCTATTGTCGAGTCTAGCTTCTCTCAGGGTAAAACGAGCTCGCCATGATTGGGTAAACCCTTAATTTGCTGGGGGATCCTTCATTCGATGTCTTGGACATATTGTAAACATATGCTGCATAATTTGACCTTTATGATTTATGACCATGCAAGGACAATTATTGCGTGATTTCCGTGCCCCATGTATTCCATTTGAACTTGGGGTGCCAATGGAGCACACGAGGCTTAGGGTTGTATCTGATTGTTCGGGCACTGTGGAACTGTTTGGTCGGAGTTGGCTCACAGATTCCCACTCCCCACTTGTCGTATAGCCTGGGTTTGAAGGAAGCCGAACTCGGAGCTATCCAAATTCACTTGGGAGCTAGGAGCTAAGAGGAGTCCCGCAAGCACTTAGTTGCGCGATAGCAGACCGTCGCCAATTCTCTTAAGATTGTGGGGCAAAGGCATGAACGAACGAATCAGGCACGCACGAATCAGGCACGCACGAATTGCAGGCTGCTCATTGCTTGCCTTTGGGCATGAGACCATACAGGGGCTTCGTTGATCAAGGTTACCCCCTTGAAAATGGCCAACATGTGGTCTTGCTACTTGGCAAGCCTCATGAATGCTTCATGGGAACCCCGGATCAACAAACTCCTGGTTGCTTAGGAGTATCCTTCACCTTTTGAGGTAGCTTGGTAAATTCACCAGTCTGATTGATTCGAGGCCTTTATGCCAGGGGGCCCTGTATGGTCTCGGCGCCTTTGCAGACGTTGGGAGGCAATGAGTGGAAATATCCAAGCGACTGCAAGCGAGAACCTCAGGCACGGTTTGCACCAGTTTGAGAGAACGAGCAATGTTAAGGCACGGATCTTGAGCTTCACTCCCTGCAGTTGGTTACTCTGTATTTGCCGAAAGGCTTCTGCACAAATGTTCCAAAGCTTTTGGCACACCCGCAAGTTGGAATCCAGTTGCTTGAAA